CTGTATCCTCCAGCTCTGTCTTCAAAGGAAGCCTGTGTATTTGCATGGGTTACAGTTTGAGTTGAGGCACATGCCTTTTGTCCACACCATCCTATTCCTTGACATGGCCTACCTGGATCCATACCCTTCTGCAAGTTCCTGGCTACCTTGAACTGCTTTGACCATGCACGGGCTTTCATGCTGTTCATAGCCTGAGGCAGCTGGGCCCCTCCAGGCTAATGGGGCAGGGCCCAGCCCCTAAATCACCTGGAGGCAGAAGCCACAAATTGGCCACTGTCAGTCTTGATTTGAACTTGCTGACTGTAAGGGTTCCAGGGTTTGTCATCAAGCAGGACTCCCGGGTATCTCTTATTAGATGACAGATACCCAAGCTGGCCTGCTCAGCGTTGCCCTAAGAAAGGAGGGCAGTATCCTCCAGATTTACTTGCAGGGGGAATATGCCCTAGGCAGATGTCATGGACACCCTAGAGTTCATTCTTGAAACCAGGCCTCTCCAGACACTTGTCCTGCTGCGGGTCCCCAGCTTCCCTGACTTGTGTGACTTGCACTGTGCAGTATGCACTCGGGTAGTCAGTTTGGGGGCAGCATAGGTCCTCCAGCCGGGGCCAGTATCCAACCACCTGCATAGCCTCCAGGACAAAGGAGCCCAACCCTGAAAATCTTTCTAAGGCAGCAGCTTTAAATTGATAATGGCCCCCATTTGGATTGGCTGCCTGGTGGGGTACCTGGCTCCTCCAACAATCAAGGCTCCAAGTGTCTCTTATTGGAGGGTGAACTGGCCATCAGGCATAGCCCAGGCAAGGCCAACCGGATTTCCCCAGCTCTGCCTTCCAGGGCAATGTGCACATCTGGGTAGCTTAAGTCTTGGAAACAGGTAGATGCCAGGTACTTCTGATAGCCTGCTCTTGTGCCTCAACAGTGGGGGGCACCAAACCCACCTCCCGAAAATTGCTCTGTAACAGCCATGGAGAAGGGCAACAGTCAGTCCTCACGTTGACTTACTGCATGCTGAAGTCCTGGGCTTCTGCGTCCATCAAAGTTCCCAGGAGTCTCTTACTGCAGGATACCCCTACCATCCCATTGATCTAGCCCTGCAAGGGAGTCCAGACTATTCAAAGTCTGCCTTCACCTGGAATATGCACGTTTGTATCCCAATCACTACCTGAAAATTGGAAATCACTCTGAGCTGCTGAAATGAGCGACGGTCAATCCCATGTGGCCTTACTGTCCTGAGGTCTGGGCTTCTGCATCAATCACCCTTCCCAGGTGTCTCTCATTGGGGGAAACTCCAGATTTCTCAAGGACTGCCTTCAGTGAGAATATGCACAATTCTGTAGGGTAGGGCTTGGAATTAGGCAGATGCTTTGTAACTTCAAGAGCCTGCTCCCCTGACCTGGCATCTCCAGATGCTTGCCCTGTTCCAGGTCCCTGGCTCCCCTGACCTACACCCCCATGCAGGCACATGCATATCCTGTAAGCCAATCTTGGGCAGACCCAGCCCTCAAAGCCCTTGAAACCCTGGCTAGGCCCTCACCACTTACATAGCGTCCCGTGAGAAGGGAGCCTACCTTAAGAAAATCGCTTCTAGTTGACCCCTACTAATGGGAGATGGTCCCCATGTGGACGTGCTTCTGGATGGGGTCTTGAGCTTCTTTAGGAACCAGGACACCCTGATGTCTCCAAATGGAAGATACCCCGTCCTGTGGGCCTGGTCCCTCCCCAGCGAGGCTGTTGAAAATCCTCCAGTTCCGCTCTGTTCCAGATCCCAGGCCAAATTAACCTGGGAGACCCGCGCATGCGCAGTTGGCACACTACAGTTGGCCTTGGGCTGCAGGGGGCACTCCAGGCCTGTGGAACTCCAGCCGGAACCCAGGCACCTGAATGACCTCAGGGTGGAGGGAGCCCCACCCCCTGAAAATCTTTCTGAGGCAGCAGCTTAAAACAGTCCGCATTGCTTCCATTTGCATTGGCTTCCTGATGGGGTATCAGGCTGCTCTAGCCATCAGGGCTCATCAGGTGTTTCTTATTGGAGGATCCTCGGGTCATCTAGCCTAGCCTTGCCCAGGCAAGGCCAACCTTATTTCTGCAGCTCCGCCTTCAGGGGGAATATATGCATTTGTGGAGGCTAAGCCTTGGAATTAGATGGATGCCAGGTTCCCTAATAGCCCCCTCCTGAGACCCGCCACACCTGCCATCGCCCATGTCAGGGTCCCTTACCGCCCTGACCTGCAATGTCAGCCAACCCTTGGCTTTTGGGGCCCTCAGAGGCCTGTGGAGCTCAAGCCAGTCCTCAAATACCCACTAGCTGCCAGCGTGGGGAGAGCCTGAAATTCTTTCTGAGGCTTCAGCTTTAACTGCTGACTGTTCGTTCCCATTGGAAGCGGCTGCCCAATGGCTTCTCCAGCAATTAAGGATTCCAGGTGTCTCTTATTACGGGGTTCCTCGACCCCCCTTCTTGCCCCACTGAGGCAGGGCAGTGCAGATTCTTCCAGCTCTGCCTTCAGGGAGAATATGTGCCTTTTTGTCTGTTAAGCTTTGGTATCGGGCAGATGCCAGGTATCCCAGTTGCCCCCTCCTGTGACCCAGCCTCAGCCAACATCGCCCAGTTCCAGGTCCCTGGTTACCCTGGCTACTTGGACTTGCATGGCCTGTGCTTGAGTGGTCCATATTCTGTTAGGTGGCTTCTGGCTGTCAGGGCCCTCTCTGCCTGTGGAGGTCAGGCGGGTCCCGAAACACCTGCTGGCCTGCAGGGTGGAGACAGCCACCCCTACTAAAATCATCCTGAGGCTCCAGCTTAAACTAGAGACAATGAGTCCCCATTTGGACTAGCTGCCTGTTGGGGTATTTGGCTTCTCTAGCAACCAGGGCTCCCAAGGGGGGTCTCTTACTGGAGGAAGCATGACCTCTATATGGTCCATGCAGGGCAAGGCAATCCAGACTACTTTAGCTATGCCTTCAGAGGGAATATTTACATTTGCATAGGTTGGGGCTTAGGATTAGGCAGATTCTTTGTACCCCAAGAGCATGCTCCTGGAACTTGGGATCTCTGGACGCTTGCCTTCTTTTCCAGGTCCCTGACTACCCTTACCTGGGAGGCCTGCACATGGCCAGTATGTACCCTAAAAGCTGGCTTTGGGCAGACCCTGCCCTCTAAGCCTGTGGAATTCAGGCCTCCGCTACCAGCATCATCCCTGGTGTGGAGGGAGCCCACCTTTTGAAAATCGCTCTGAGCCAATAGGTGCGAAAGGGCAACAGGCAGTCAGCATGCAGACTTACTGCCTGCCAGGCTCTAGGGCTTCTGTAGGAATCAGGACTCCCCTGTGTCTCCATACGGCGGATACCCTGTCCTGCCAGGCAGGCCATTTCCTAGTAAGGCAGTTGAAAAACCTGCAGCTCTTCTTTTGGGGAGGATGTTCCATAATGCGTAGGTAGGCCTTGTTCATTAGGCTGATACCCCGTACCCCCACTAGCTCTCCCCTGTGATGTGCCTCGCCCACCATTGCCTGTGGCAGGTCTCCTTCCTGCCTCAACTTCCAGGCCTGCTCATGTGTACTTGTATCCTGTCACCCGGCCTTGGGCTGCAGGGGCACCCCAATGACCTCAGTGCCCTTCGAGTAGAAGGAACCCACCCACGGAAAGTCTTTCTGAGACACCAGCTCTAACCTGACAACAGTGTCCCCATTTGGACTGGCTGTCTGATGGGGTCCTGATGTTCATCAGCAACCAGGGGCCCCCAGGTATCTGAGAGTGCCCTGGTCAGCGCTCCTGGCCCCACTCTGCCCAAACAGTCCTGATGCCCCCAGCTCTGCCCCTAATGGGAATATGCACATTTGTGTCAGTTAAGCCTTGGAGTTAGTCAACCCATAATGGGTCAGAGGTTATGCTTAAACACATCGACCCACTAAACATCCTACCTTTTGTCTCTGAAACTGTTATGTGGGTTAGGAAATGCTTTCAATGTTCAGGGAGTGTACAAGCCTGCTCCACATTTAACCAGGGACTAGCAGGTCACAGGGCCCTCTCTGATTTCTCTGGGCACAGTTGTTCTATGTCCAGTGACTTCTGGACCACCAGCAGTAAGTATTATCTTAGTGGGGCCCTTTTTGCCTTTTTCCTCCACATTTCCCTGTTAAATTTCCAGCTAGCCTGCCATTTTGTTACTTGCCTCAACAGTATCATGTAGACATTAGCCTTCCTGGATTGTTTCCCACTATAATCTCTATTGTATTCAACAGTGTCATTGGTTGTGGATGTTTTCCAAGATCTGCTACAAAGTCATCCTGCACGAGAAGGGCAGCAAAGCCACCAGTCACAAGGCCTGCCTGCCCATCTGAGTCAAACGTGTGAGCCACAGAAGGATGGGAGTAGCCACTCTTTTTTTAGTGAGACTTACAGAGATTTTCTTTAATAAACATTTCTCAACAGTATGCTCTTTGGCCAATTTACAGAAACTATAAATGGTTATTTTTTTAAATAATTTTGTCCAGTTTTATTTCTGCCTTTTGGAAAGGGAATCTACCACACTCCTGTCCTAGCCATTCTTGCCAGTCCCACCTAAAGGAGTTTGAAATATACTTTGTTCAAAAATTTCAGGAAGCGTTATTTCACAAAATTATTCTTGACTACATTTAAAAAAATATCTACAAATGTATAACAATTATTAAGAGGGAGCCTGATTCCTAGTGCCAGTTTGAAGAGGAATTTATAATAACTAAAGATGGACATGACATTAGAATGACCTACACTTGGTTGCCTTCTGAAATGCTGACCTCATGACTAGCAAGAAGAGAGGCAAGGGAGGGCTTCATTTCCCCTCCTCCAAGGTCCATTTCTGAGTGCTTCAAACTTAGAAACTTTGTAACTGCAGCAAGGAAGTTGCCCAGCTATTTAGAGTCTTGATGTGAAAACAGAGTAAGACATTATTTAGTTTTTTCACACTACCCTGTGTGAACTTTGATATTTACACAAAGTATTTCACTACACCAGCTTCCTGGCACTGAATGCACTGAAATTCAAAAGTCATGCGTATCACCCCAAATGAAAGCAAGATTTGGAGCAACACCACCATTGTTGGACCATTTCGAAGTGTATGTGCTCAGGAGAATCTAGCATGCTGCTTTTAATTAATGCCATTCTAATCTTCTGGATTTCTACTGTTGGGATGCAAGGTAAATTGAAAACATGAAAGCAGACCTGAATATTTAGTTCCTCTCTCATATATGTGTGTTGGGTGTGTATTAGTGTGTATGTTTTAAAATGAATAAATAGGTAAGAACATTTTAAATAAAGGCTTATAATTTAATCTATTTTATCAAAATGTTTTCTAATATGAAATTAAGAGAAAATAGAATGAAATTATTTTCTCTGTCCATGTGAATAGCCACCAAATACAACATTTGGAGAGGAATTACAGGATGAAAAAGCTGCATATAATAAAGTCAAAAGGGTCAAGTACCAGTGTAATTCTCCATAAACTCTGCAATGCCACTGGCCAGAAAAAGCATCCCAAGAAAATCTGGACACCTTCAAAATATTTGCATTTTCATAGATTTGTTAATTTAAGATTTAAATATTATTAAACCAGGAAATTCCTTTTTCAATCTAATTATCATTCAACAAAGGGGAATCTCTTTTACTAAAACAGTGCAGTATATACTAATTTTTGTGTGTAATAAGCCAGTGAAATGTCAATGAGTTATCTTTTTTTTTTTGGTTGTTACTTGCTTTTCTGAGCTCTTCAGCAAATGTTAAAAGTGAAAAGAAATTGTCCATCCTTTATTAAAACTATAAACCACATCTTATAATATTTTAAAAACTGTCTCATCTTATTTCATGTTGAAATAAAAATCATCATATCCAAATAATTGCAAATGAAACCTCTAACAAGATCCAAGACCGCTGATTAGACCACATGTGGAAGTGGAGTTTCAGTCCTACCTTTTATTGTTTGATTTCCAGAAGGGATTTATTTTGCTATTGTGTTGCTTGCTAATTTTTGCATATAATGGACGTTCTTTGGGGAAAGTTTCTCTTTAATCCTAACTTAAGAGAAAAATAGGAACATTAAAAATGCTTTACTTTTTTTTTTTAAAAGATTTTATTTATTTATTTGAGAGAGAGAATGAGAGAGAGAGAGCACATGAGAGGGGGGAGGGTCAGAGGGAGAAGCAGACCCCCTGCCGAGCAAGGAGCCGGATATGGGACTCGATCCTGGGACTCCAGGATCATGACCTGAGCCGAAGGCAGCCGCTTAACCAACTGAGCCACCCAGGCGCCCAAAAATGCTTTACTTTTAAGAGCCACCCTCATAAAAGTTATAAAACCTTATTTCTGTAGACTGGAAACTCCTTTTGTTTGTTACTACTTTTAACATTGAGATAGACTCACAGGAGAGCAATTAGCTGATGGGGGTAAAAGTACAACAGGCATTGCTTAATTAAAAATTAAAAATTAAATTAAAATTAATTAAAAATACCAAATTCTCTGATTAGACTGTACAACAGCCTCACTGAAGAACTGTATAAATAGGTGTATTTGATTTTTTTTTTACCTGTGTGTCTGATAAATATTGTTTTAAACATCTGTTAGTGATGGCATTAAGAGAGGATTTCTAAATGGGCAAAAAGCAGGGAAAAGAAGTGTAAAATATGAGAATAATATGTAGAATTTTTACAACCCAGAACCCAGAAAAAGATATTCAAACTTCAAACTAGTCTCCAGAGAACCTTCAGTGAAGCTCTATCCAGAATTTGTGTCGCTGTTAAATGGCTTCTAATTTTGTGTTGCAGTTAGGCTGAGGTGCTTGTTGAGGTGCTCTGGTCCCAGAGCAAAAACAGCGCGTTACAGTCACGCTTATATAAGAACCCTGCATACGTTCCATAGTGAAATACTGATCGAGCACTATATTATGCTGCATGTTGCAGCAAAGAAGCTCAAAAGAAATGAGAACTCTGTGCCTCACTACAGCTTTGAGTGTCCTTGGAGGAAAGCAAAACGTGTCAATAAGTAAATAGATTGCAAGACTATGTGTGTCTATGTAGATACGTGTGATACATGTGTGTATATATATGAGGGTGTGTCTCGATTTCATTGGAAATGTAGTCATGAGCTTTTATCAGAATGTAGAGACAGCACACATCATCTCCTACTTTTGGAGGGGGTGACTGGCTAAGGGAGGTCTGCCAAGAGAAGTTAACTTTCAGAAGTATCACATCGCTGTGCGCACAATGAATATTTTTGCTAAATGTTGCAGAACGAGTGTTGAAGGATAGGTAGAAGGGGGACGATTGGTGAATGGAAGGGACGTTATTCTGGATAGCAAAGTATACATAGGTAGAAATGCATGGAAATCAAACGCTGTAATTTGAGGGGAGCGTAAAGCATGTCTGGAAAAAGAATTATGGGAGGTGTGACTGTCACTGTTTAATGGCGGGTCTTTTCCTCCGCCTCGTATCAAATTGTAAACAGATAAGTAACCCCAGGTTTCGCAGGTTAAAAAGCACAGGAATCACTAGTGTGAAATATTGTGCCACACGGAAAGTCACCTCTAGACAAATGCAAAAGAGAGTTTCCCGAGGTAACTGGTTGGTGAGCTGAGTTTCTGGAAGTTGTTTTCTTTATTCACAAAACTGCTTCATCCTCCCAGCACCAGGAAAAACCAGACAGCACAGAGACTGAATCAGAGTAGAAAAAGGAAAGGCCCGGGGAGCCCACACGACTCTGTCCCTGCCTGCCAGCTCGCGGTGTGGACCCGTGACCTGCTCCCCTCGGCCGCCGCTCATAGATCGCTGTGTGGGATTTTCTTCTCGAAGTTACTGCGGAAGAGAGTTTATTCCACGTGACTCCAAACATAAATTTCATGTTCATTGACAACGGACTTTTCAAATACTCTTGTACTCTTAATTAGAGACCGTTTTTTTGTTCTCGACTGATTAGAACACCGGAAGGCATGTAAGGTAGAGGAACTTGAGCTGGATGAAAGAAAAAAAAAATCAAAGAGATGATTAAAAGATGACTTAATGATTCACTAATGTAGGTTAATTCTTCAGTTTTGTTTTATTTTTCCCAGGGTTTTCCTATTGTGGTTTTCCAAAAATAAACCACGGAATTATATATGGTAAAGAGTACGATGAGGAGCCTTCCCTAATTACTGTCGGGGAAATTTATTATTATTCTTGTGAATATAATTTTACATCTCCTTCACGATCCTTTTGGACTCGCATAATCTGCACAGAAGAAGGATGGTCACCAACACCCAAGTGTCTCAGTGAGTAAATGCCCTGATCAGTAGATGTGGATGCATCATTCAGTAAATAGAGATGTTCCAAATGTGACGTCAGGCCCTTGGCAGGCAATCACAGGGATCAGGACTAGCCAGCGAAGATGAGAAATGTAGTCCTTTCTTGAGAAGCCCTTTATGAAAACCAAATGAAGAATAGATACGTGAACTTTCTCGTGTTACTTAGAAGTGCTTTACACATTTTAATTTTAAACTGATGATTTATGTATTTGACTATTAATATGTATTTCCTAATATTTGGTATTAGCCTGGGCATATTTTTCCTTTAAAACAAATCTTTTTACATACACATTCTGTTTTGAAACTTACCATTCTCTTGAGTATTGAAAAGATTGTGTAAGTGTAAATATTTTCACTTTCATATTTTCCATAAAACACGTCTTTTGTTCTTACAGTGATATCTATATTAATCCTTAAGTGAATGTGATGAGCAGACTCAAGAGAGAATAGGTATATTAAGCAAAAAAGCAATGGGGGGTGCCTGGGTGGCTCAGTTGGTTAAGTATCCGATGCTTGATTTCGGCTCAGATCATGATCTTAGGGTCATGAGCTCAAGCGCCGTGCTGGGCTCTGTGCTCATCGAGAAGTCTGCTTGTCCCTCTCCCTCTGCCCACCCCACCCCCCACTCTCTCTCTATCTCAAATAAATAAATAAAATCTAAAAAAAAAGAAAAAAACAACGGCAGGCAGAAAATATGAGCCAACAAAGGAGACTGTAGTGGTCTTTCTCCTTCTGTAAGAAACATTTATGAGAATTAAGAGAGAAATGGATATATTAAAATCTAATTTTGTACCTAGAAAAGTTTATGAAAATCAAATATTTTTTGTAAAAACCATAGAACAGAATGAAATGTTAATTTACTTCTGTAAATTAAATATCTTCTTCTAAATTACTTCTGTAAAGTAATATCATATATATAGTAGCATGATCAGAGTTCTTTAGAAATTTTGTTTTCATACCTGATTTCAGTTTTGAAAGTTTGCCATTCTTCTTAAAATACTGTAAAAAGGAAATTTAGGTGTTTTTTTTTTTTTTTACCACTTCCATCTTGTACATTAAACAATTTTTGGTTCTTAGGACTGTGTTTCTTTCCTTCTGTGGAAAATGGTCATTCTGCATCTTCAGGACAAACACACCTGGAAGGTGACACTGTACAAATTATCTGTGATGTCGGCTACAGCCTTCCTGGTAATAGTGACACCATTTCATGTTTGGAAGATGGCTGGTCTTCTCCTCCCAAATGCAGCTCCACCAGTAAGTAAAATGCTGTCCTTTCACATCCTGACATGTGATGTGATTTTTTAAAAAATATATCTATTGTCAGGGGCTAAATGTAGGTATCACCACTGGCTTTTATCATTATGCATTTGTTTTTCAGTTCCAGTTGAGTCTGATAGATATACAAATAGCATAGTTTGCCTGCCTACACGAATCTGGTGCATGCAATAAATAGAAATATTAGAAGGCAGTCCCTTTATGTTAAAGGAACACCCATTTATTGCTTACATGAAAATTATCAGGTTAGTTGGAAATCAACTTTATTTAAAACTGGAGTATTAAACTGAAAATAGACTATTTAAGTGAACGTAAGTCCAATCCTAGTTAAAATGTCTTATGAATAAGACAGTTTTTTATAGTTATTTTATGTGTGTATATTAAATTCATAGGCTTAATTCAATAAACCATCAGTTTCTATGTTTAAAATATTTTGTACCTGTGAGCATTATGCTTATTTGTCAGTGGCTTTGGAAAACAACTCCTTAAGATACTGTATAATATGAAGGCATCTCCCAGACCTGGGTGAACACTTGCAATTCTTCATCTTTACAACTCTTCTGGCAATCATTCTTAAGATAGTTCATGGAATTCCAGCCTATGCTTGCACAGCTTAGTACTCAACCAAAGACTCAAGAACACTCTTCAGAAAACTTCTCTAGCTCTTTCTCCTCATAATACCCTCTCTCTGTTACTCTGCCCTGTAAATTCTAGCCATTCTAGCCACCATGGCCTCTAATACTGTGATCTTGCTCTTCTCAGTTCAGGAAGACCCCTGGACTCTGCATACCTTCCCCCCACCCCTTGCCCCCACAACACAGTCTGGAAAGTGCTCTCCTAGTAGAAAGCTGAAACAGTCATAGACTGTGCGTTTGGGTTTGGGTGTCCCCCCCCCCCCGCCTTTTTTTATCATCACAGACTTGCACTGCATAGTTTCCAGTCTTTTAGAGATATGTTTTGTACGGTCTTCTAATGTTTTTTTCTGATAGGAGGGTATGCTCTTACCAGCTAATCTATCTTATCAGGAAATGAAGCCTAATGATACACTTTTTTAAAAAAATGTTATTCCAGAACTTCATTATTTAAATTTAAACTTCTAGAAAATAGAGTCTTTTTAAAGCAGCTTGAATTAAAATACTCAGTTACCAGTTAGGCCACAATCTCTTTCAATTACAAGGGGCTTACAAGTGACTAATACTTACAGAAAAATAACAAAAGAACACATTTATTGACTTCCTACCTGAAATGTCCAGTGGTTGAACAGGGTTCATGATTTATAAGGCTTCAGTTATGGTATAAATATTTCATTGTCATCTCCATCTCGAGAACCATCTCTCTTCATTTTGTGGGATAATGGCAATTGTCAGCCCAACAATTGTATTTTAGAGGCCTGACAACTCAGTTTGACCAGTAGTAACCCACACAAGCTGGCTCCTGAGTACATTTTGTGAGACTTCATTAGCCTCTGAAAAATTCTGTGTATCCAGGGTTAGGTGTTGGATCAAGAACACCATGGAAAGTCAATGACATTTCAGGCAACTGGATTCCAACATGGGTTCTGAGAAAAATCACCTGTGTCCATGAGTAAATGATCACCTATTTGAGCTAAGGTCACTGATCCACAAAATTAGTTATGTTAAACTCTCTAGGTAACAATGATTAAAACATAACAATTTTTCTTTAAATCCCTAAATTGTTTCCATGTGTGGTGGAAGCTCTTATTTTCTACCAACTGTGTTATATTTGTGGACAAATATTTAGTGAGAAATGGCTTTTAACAAGAATTAGAGAGATAAAGGAAGAAATAAAGACTGGATAACGAAATGGTGGAGAGAGATTCAGAAAGATGAAAAAATAGGAGTACAGAAAAAGAATAGAGAAAAATAAATATCTAGAACAAGAGTTCTAAACTTTTTCGGAAGCTTGCACACCTTTTGTTCCCCAAAATAAGCTGCGGGAATGCTGATAAAATCATTAATCACTTCATTAAATCAATCATGATATACATATGCTTTTAAATTTTGTGGCAGTGTTAACATTGTAAATCACATGTTTTAAAAAAATATATTGACTTTACTCTTAATGCCTCAGTCTTAAGAAGTCATCCATATTATTCATATTTAAGCAACTTCATGTCTTTAGGAAAGTAATATGCAAGTAAATTAAATTTTAAATTTTAGTAATTCTATCAGAAGGATGTTGCCACTGACTTGTCCTTTTAGATGATTTTAAAATGTGTACTTAACCTTTAAAAATTTGATCTATTTAAATAATGAAATAATGTGATAAACTACAGCTAATCACAAAAATAAATCTGACATTCACCAATATGAAAATGAGATTTAAAAAATTCCATAAATTTTAAAACAGGCAAAATTATTCTATGGTGTTTGCAGTAAAGAGTGTTAGTGGTTAGACAGGTCATGAGGAACTTCGAACATGTGAGTCATAATTCTGTTGTTTTAGCTGGATGGCAGTTACAGAGGTGTGCTTATTTTGTAAAAACTTACTGAACTTCTGATTTTTATACTCGTCTACATGCATTTTATGCTTTAATAAGTTCATTACCACCCATTATTAGGAGACAGTTCCTGTGAGGTTTTCACATTTCTGCATGGTCCAGGCTTTCTGAACGAAGAGTGCTAGCAAACTTGGCCAGAAAATGATTCGCAAACAAGCCTTGGACGTTAGAGTATATGCCCCTCAAGTGAGATTGAGAGACATCTTTCTGGAGCCATTTGCTTACGTTTCAGAGGAGTAAAAACCTTCCTCTCTCTCCCCACAAATTTGTCTCTGTTCCAGAGCAAAGGTCTCCTTCCCTTTCTCTCTTGTGGAGAGGATGGGCCAATGGGCCAGCTACCCTGTAAAAGCTCCAAGTCTCTTACTTCAGAGGTTCCTTTCCTATGGTGCAGAGCCACAGCCTGAGCACAACGATCACCTCGGGCTGTCACTGCATCTGATTAGTTGGCATCTGACAGATTAGAGACTGGAGCTCAGAGAACTGGCAATATAGCTCTTTGTGAGTAATAACCTATTTAGTCTCTGTCTAGAGAACTAACGTTTCCTGTAAGGAGGATACATTTCCATATGCATGTACATATACACACACACACACATCAGGCACTTACTGTACCACCAATAGAATATATAATATACTATACATGGTAGATATATACATAGACATATATATATTTATATGGTGAATACCTATGTATATTTAAAAATAGTATAATTTATTTAGGTGTTGATGTATAAGGAAAATGTGCATAAAATCATTTTTTACTAAATTATTCATAATAAAATTTCCTAAAAGGTCACTTATCCACTAGTACATAATGATTAAAGGTTTTTGTCCGTTTGTTGTGTGCTTGGGATAACATTAGAAATAAGACCCTGATTTTTAATACACCTTTGAGTCTCATGATATGCCAGTATTCGTGAATGCCAGAAACAAAGGTAAGGGCATATGGTTTAAACTCAGTGACAAGTTGGACTGTGAATGCCATGATGGATCTAAGACAGAGATGGAAGTACCACAGGTTCCATAAGATGTGGTGAAGATGGTAAGTCCTTTTTCTTCTAGGAGATAAAAAGCAATTCTGAATGTATTTCTTTTTAGTAGACTCTACTGAAAGATGTTTCCTAATGAACAATCATCAAAATTTAAGGTGACTCCACATAGCTTTAAGAGACCAATGTTAAATATTGATTTAATAACAGATCTTTGAAAAGCACTTAGCTCATCCAAAATAAGGTTGTTTATATGCCACATGCATTGTAATATTTACGACCAAGATGAACGCTGTTTTGAAGGTACCTCGAATTCAAACTGCCAAATAATTCAAAACGAGGCAAACATTACCCAAGTTATAGTCTGCTATGCATGCTACAGCAACTTTAGATATTTTACTCCTTGATTTTCATCCTTTTCCTTGTCATTTGATTATAAACTCAAAATTTATGGTCAAGACTTGGGGCGCCTGGTTGGCTCAGTCGGTTAAGTGTCTGCCTTCAGCTCAGGTCATGGTCTCGGGGTCCTGGGATCGAGCCCCGCGTCGGGCTCCTGGCTCAGCGAGGAGCCTGCTTCTCCCTCTCCCTTTCCCTCTGTGTGTGCTTTGTCTCTCTCAAATAAATAAAATCTTAAAAAGAAATCTATGGTCAGAGACTTGGTTTTTTGTTTATTTTAGAGCATTTTTGGGTTTCATGGCACAACTGAGTGGGAGATACAGAGATATACCCCTTGCCCCACACATGCAATATAATCTGTCCCATTATCAGCTTGACTGATCAGCGCACTCTATTTGTACAATTGATGAACAATTTGACAAACCATAATCACCCAAAGTCCGTAGTTTATATTACTGTTCAATCTTGGTGTGGCACAGAGTCTTTGACTTAAATGCAGGATAGAATGCCTTCAGGTCATGCCAAATCATACCCTTCCTTAAATATGGCTGTACATTTTTTCCCATATATATTAGTTTTCTCCTGCTGCTGTAACAAATTACCACAACCTAATTACTTAAAACAATGCAAACTTATTATCTTACAGTTCTGGAGGTCAAAAGTCCTGAAATCAAGGATGTTGAATCACAGTTCCTTCTGGAGGTCCTAGGAAAGAATTTGTTTTCTGCCTTTTACAGCTTCTTGAAGCCCTTTGCATTTCTTGGCTCACTGCCCTTCCTCATATCACTTCAATCTCTGCTTCTGTTGCTACAACTCCTACTTTGATTCTGACACCTCTGCTTCCTTTTGTAAGCACGCTTCTGATTACATTGGGTCCACTATCATACAAATAATTCAAAATAATCTCTCTATCTCCAGGTCTTTAACTTAATTGTATCTACAAAGTCTGTTTTGCCAAGGAAGGTAACCTATTTGCAGGTTTCAGGGATTAGGACATGGACATTTTGGGGAGGCCATGGTTCTGTCTATAATACCATGTAATAACCATACTTGAATAAATCAGCTAAAAAATCCTACATCAGCCAAGATCAATTATTTTCAATAGTTTTTTTTTTTGCAATTGGATTAGAAAGGGAATATAAACAACCAAAAAAGAATTGTCATGCAAAATTCTGGAATAAAATACAGAGATACAGGGGTGCAACTTTTCATAAAACTGAGTGAGTCACATTTCAGAGGGATATGAACAAACTGTTATTAAAGTATTCAATTGCCAATAACAATGCATAAAACTGTCTAGTTTAAATAATATTTCTGAGATTTAGTTAGAAAATATTTCATCATATTTTTGTGATATATGCTTGATTTATTGAGAGTATTTGTCTTGAATGTCATTTATATTTTCTTTTTTTAAATAGATTTTATTTATTTATTTGAGAGAGAGAGAATGGGCAGTGGGAGGGGCAGAGGGAAAGGGAGAAGCAGACTCCCCACTGAGGGGGGAGCCTGATGTGGGACTCGATCCCAGGACTCTGGGATCATGACCTGAGCCAAAGGCAGACGCTTAACCAACTGAGCCACCCAGGCGCCCCTGTCATTTATATTTTCACATGTGAATTTCAATATCTAATTTTAAGAGATGAACCATGAATAACAGATCAAATGAGAAAAATACACATATATATTCATATATCTATCTATTTATATATATATATATATATCCATTTTTACTTGAATCAGAAGGTATTCATAATGCATTGGTTTTTAGAAAGATATTAAAGATGTGGTTGGGTATAATGGAAAGATTCCGAACACCTAGAAGCAACTTGGCCATGTGTTTTTTAAAAAGTCCATATACTAAATACAGTTCCCCATTTGTAAAGTTAGGAATTATTTGCTTTTTAATGTTCCCTCCTACTTAAAATGTACTAGACATAATTCTTGTTTGGACCATTCCAGGTACTAACTTTTTAAACATACCTATCATTTAATTAAATATGTTGCACTTTAATTGTTACTACTTGAAAAACTGATTTTCATGTGATCTGTGAAAACTATTCATATGCCGTTTTATAGACAAATAAAAGTTATTAAACTTATTGTTAAATAAATAAATGAAATAATTTACTTTATATGATTGCTCGGGACTTATTTATTACAGTCCTGAGGAGATTGTCATACAAAATTTTACCTTGCTGTTCAACCCTAATTTCTCTAAAGGGGCTTACACATATTTGTTGGGTGTAAATAATTAGGGGTTTTTTTGAAGGTAAGAATATAAGTGCCTCTGGGTATGAAGCCCCTGCTATTTAATAGCATGTATTAAATTTAATACTGCAGTGACTATTTCACATATATTTATTTACTTTTATTTTATTTTCAATATAGAATGTCTTCTTCCAGTTTTAAAAGCAAATCTAGATGTTTATCCAAGAAAAGCAAAATACAATGCTGGAGATGTGTTGCAATTTTTCTGTGGAGAAAGACTCAGAAGAGTTGGACCAGATTCAGTTCAATGCTATCACTTCGGATGGTCACCTAATTTTCCAACATGCAAAGGTCAATATTTATTTTAGAACTGATGAAACAACTTATATCAATTTATATTAATGTCTATGTATTTTATTGGTCTTATATATATAATCTGACAAATTGCAAAAAAATGGCAAAGGTAGTATTTTAACTGAAAAGGAGAGGAGGTGCTGGGCTGTAGATTATTTATGTTTCCTTTATCAAGGGGTAATTCTACTTCTGTTTTGAAATGTATAATGGAATTTTATAGATCAAAATATAATTGCCAGAACGGGGAAGTGTTAGGGATTTTCCCCCAAATTCAATAAAAAATCATACTTTAAAAAATATTGTATGGGTCTTGTTATATTGTATTAAGTAATCAAGAAGTAATCAAATAAACATATGAATTATTCAATATAAACCAATGATTTGTTACTTGCTTCAGATGACATTACTTTTTAAAAATATTTGATAAAATTATTTTATATATTTATAGATATTAATTAATAAAAACATATGTGATAAATATAATTGCATATATATATCATACCACATATTCAATAACTACTTACTTTTATATGATATCCAGATTATTGAACTACTTTAAAATCTTCAGGGCACAATTAATATCCTGGTTATAATAACCTGCAAAATATTGGGGGTTGGGGCAATCAGGATAGTTACATATAGAAAAAAATGTAAGATGTCACTAAAAATTATTGTTAATTTAAAGAAATGCAACACGGTGTTTTGTATATGCAGGTCAATGTCCTTATTTCTTAGATAGGCATTCTGAAGAATTTAGAAGTAAAATTTTACTATGTCTATCATTTACTTTAAATTATTTTGGGGCACCTGGGTGGCTCAGTCGGTTAAGTGTCTGTTTCCATTCAGGTCATGATCCCAGGGTCCTGGGATCAAGCCTGGCATCAGACTCCCCGCTCAGTGGAGAGTCTGCTTCTCCCTCTGCCCCTCCCCCTGCTTGTGCCCTCTCTCTCTCTCTCTCTCTCGCTCTGCGCACTCTCTCTCTCTCAAATAAGTAAAATCTTAAAGAAATAAATTACTTTGCAAAAAAAATTAAATAAATTGGGCAAAATGTAACATTAATATATATCTAGGTGATCAGTATATGTGTTCATTTTTCTTTAATTTGTTCAGAATTGTTTATAATAAAAAGTCAATATTTGAGAAAAAGAATAGTTAATACACTATGTACATGGAAAAAGCAAACCTAAAAAAAATAGGAATTTAGCAAAAATGTAATTTAGTTCTAGGTCAACCAAAACAGTAATTCCACATTTTGCCAGATTCATTAGACTCTTTAAGCATTATTTAAATAGTTTTTTTTTTTTTAATGATAGGAAAAGTACAGTCATGTGGTCAACCTCCTCAACTCCCCAATGGTACAATAAAAGAGAGAAGGAAAGAAGAATATGGACACGGTGAGATGGTGGAATATGAGTGCCCTCCCTATTTTCTAATGACAGGGCCTAAGAAAATACAGTGCGTTGATGGAGAATGGACAAATTTGCCCACTTGCGTTGGTAAATAGATGTTAATATTTAAACAGAACAGTTTAAACTTTGCACTTATATATAAATACATATATAAAACGATTTAAAATATTTTAAAAGCAAGCAGATCTTTTATTACATTTTCTTAGGACAAGTTAAAGCATGTGGCTCCATACCTCACCTCAAGAATGGCTATGCCCGGTTCTCTATTATTCCCTTTCAACATGGTGTTTCTGTGGAGCTGAATTGCAGAGATACACATACAATGATTGGAAATAATGTAATTACCTGTATTGATGGAACATGGACTGAACTTCCTAAGTGTGTTGGTGAGAATACATTTCTTACTTTTGTATTTGATTGTTCATAATTTTTTAAATCAATAAATATATTTAGACCAGCACATGCTGGTGCCCATAAGGTATTAAATAATTAGGATATAAGATGTTAAATTCTTTGCTCCTAATTATTTAAAAAATGAATTGTTAAAGATTTTCTTTGACCTATGTACACTGTGCAAAATTACTGAGATGCTAAGGGCTCTGTGAACCAAGAGAGTTTGGGACTTCTGCTTCAGAATAATATCAGATTGCTTTTTTCCAGGTATCTACTGTTGCATCTCATCTTCACCATGTGATGGAGCTATGCAAAACTGATTTTCCTTAGCTTCTGGATAAGCCATGTTCTTTTAAATCTCCATGCTGTTCCTCATTTGTGCCTTTGCTTTCTTCCTGAAATATCTTTCTCCATTTTTTTTAAGGATTTGAATATGTATTTCTCCAAAGAAGACATAATAAAAATTATAACAAACACATAAAAAGATTCTCAACATTATTAGTCATTAGGAAAATACAAATCAAAACCACAATGAGATATCACTTCCCGCCCACTAGGATACCTATTAGAAACCTCATATATTTCTGGTGGGGATGTATAATGGTACAGCTGCTTTTTTTTTCTTTTATTATGTTATGTCAATCACCATACCTTACATCATTGGTTTGTGATGTAGTGTCCCATGATTCATTGTTTGTGTATAACACCCAGTGCTCCATTCAGTACGTGCCCTCTTTAATACCCATCACCAGGCTAACCCATCCCCTACCCCCTCCCCTCTAGAACTCTCACTTTGTTTCTCAGAGTCCATAGTCTCTCATGGTTCATCT